GTCGACACCTTTAGAGTCATACTTGTTGACTAGCACGACTCGCCGACCTGATGCTCCAGAAGATGCCCCACCCACTTGGATATGTCCACAGGCTAAGCAGACATATGTAAGAATATGATTCTTTTATGATATTAATTTTATTTATTTTTAATGTCATATTGCTCTAAAAGAAGAAAAGTGATACAATTTTTTATCCATTATACTCAGGAAATGATTATTTTTCATTTGATTTCCCATTATTATTTGAAATTGTTAACTAATGAAAATTTTATTTTTGAAATAGAACGATGCTCACCAAAAATATGTGGAGAAGCATGGGACAAACAAGGATTCGTGGCCAGAATGGGATCCACTTATTTGGAAGGAGGTGGTTAGACCTCCTAAAAAGGGTCAGATGAGAGGGATGTCTACATTACAAGATCCAGCAGAGCATGGCATACCTTGGCGACGGTATGACATGAGTGAGGCCTCCTCTTCTACCACTAGGATTCTTACGACACAGGTCCAGCAATTGTAGTTTGAGCTTACTCAAGTTCAAGAAGAAATGGCTAAGTGAGTTCAGACAGAGGTGGTCGCATGTATTCATACAGAGGTATCACAGAGAGTAACAGAGATGGAGGCCAGCTTTGAGAGGAGATTCCAAGAGCACATGTGCTTACTTAGCCAACAATATTCTATGAATGCTACACAACCCCAGACTGGTTATCCTTCTTCTACACCACCCCAGACTGCTGATCCTTCTTTTGGAGGATTTAGACTTGATCACTTACCACCTCCTACTTAGAGACATTGATATTTAAAACTTATATTATATATGTTTATATATATGTACTGCATATGTATATATATGGTGTGTAAGATGAGAAGTTAGTATATATTTATTAACTTAAACTAGTTTTTAGTTATGTAGTATTTGATTTTAAATAAGTAAAATATATAATATTAAAAAAAATTAACAATCTTATAGTAAAAAGAAAAAAATTACAATATAATATTTCGTAAAGAAATAGCATATATATATCTTTATCTAAACTATAATTTTTATAATTAATTATTAGCTCAAAAAAAAAATTGATTCTTATTACTTTTAAAACCAAAAATTTTACAAGAGAATTAATAAAAAAAAAAACTCAAAAGAAAAACCAAAAAATAATTCAACAAAAAAGAAATAATTAGATGAATCAAATTGTCAATTAATTTAAAGAAATAGTATATTTGTTTAAATATAAGGATTAAAAAATAAAAAAATAAATTTTTTTAAAAAAATGTGACTATATTCGACAGCCATATTGGTTGTCGAATATAAAGTTGCCCCTTGCATTCTCAGCAAAAAAAAAAAAAAATTTGAATTTCCCAGCAAAAAAATTTGAATTTCCCGACCAAAAAAAAAATTAAAAAAGAAAAAAAAACTGTGACTATATTCGATAGCCATATTGGCTATTGAATATAGTTATATTCGACAGTCAATGGCTGTCGAATATAACGCCGCCCCATGCCTTCCTAGCAAAAAAAATTGAATTTCTCGGCTACTTAAATTTTAAACTTATTCGACAAAATTTTTGTTGAATATGTTTGAAATATAAATACCACTCCGACATCATAACATCTCATTGTCTTCTAATTTTCATCTTCTTGCCTCTTCCCTTCTCCTTCTC